CCACAGCTATATTTTTTTTTGTACTACCAGCAAGGGTAGAATTTTTTTAAAAATTGAAATGGGGCAGTAGCCATTTTCACACAGCCAACTAGTTTATAAAGCTTGATTTTTACTAAATGTTGATAGTACTGAAGTCAGCCTGTGTTCCTACATGTGGAATTGTCTGACTGTAAAATAAGATTTAAGATGAACCTTCTGTACCTCTACCAAACATTACAGCATTTTTGTAGTATGCACTCTTCATAATATTTCATGTATTTTATATTCTCTTTAAAATAAACACATTAATAAAATGTCGAAGTCAAATTTTTATATTATGGAAATAAATCTTGCCAGTCAAGTATCATGTGAACAGATTGCCCCTCATTGTAGTAATCGTACTACCTAAACTTTAGCACTATAATTAAACGGTACAGCACAGGAGTAGAACCAAGTGCACTCAGGGCACTAAAATGTTTCTCCGTTTTGTCATATGAATAAACTATGATGAAGTTATGTTCTGGTTTCAGTTCTTATGGCTTGTTGGATGTTCAGACTAGTTTGAATTGTTAATGTTGTCCTGCCAGTGTCAAACATCCTTTGATGTTTTCCCAAAATTAATCTTTGAAAGAAACGCACTGTCAAAATGCATAAGTTATGATTGCCTAGCATTTATGAATTCAAGTCCTATTGTATCTAAGCAATCCATGGGTTAAAGGATATGATGTTGCCTTGATATTAAAAACATACTGTTTATAATCAAATGGGTGTTTTATGGATAGCTTAATATGTTTAGGGATCTGAAAATAAACAGGCAATTTAAATGGTCTTTGTTGATACTTCCTCCTGAAATCCATCTTTTCCTGTCATTTGATGTTGTTGTGACAACCATTATTATTGAAGAGTAGGATATTAAATACAACATTATGATTTCACAAGTGTTACTGAATGTGGCATCCTGGATGCAAGACTTTGTTGTCAGCATTGAAATCCCATCATGAGTTTGACTGTTTAATACATGAGCTGAGGAGCAAAGTTTTTATGCCTTTATTCAGTAGACACTGTGTAGAGCTTTACATTTGAGTATTCAAGGATTTAAGTGTTAACAGTGTTTAGGTGGATCTCAGATTATCCAAAAAAGAATTTTTAGATACTGGTTTGAATATTGTATTATTTGGTTAGCAACTACTACTTTAGACATTTTAAACTACAGTTTAATTTGTTGAGCCTCTGAAAAATCACTTAAGGTTCAGAAGCTGATGTTCAGTCCTACCTCTTACATGCTTTCCTATCAATCCCAAGATTACAGGCCACAGGTTTCTAATAGTTACAGGGAAAATGTTTTGTAATTTGAAAACATAACGGCTCCCACTAATTCGATACTGATTTAAAATTTTCCTTTTCTCATAATCACAGAGAATCTATCTCTTACAATTATCCATAAGTGGTCTATGTTACCCTATATTGATCTTTTCAAGAGCATTATTGGGCTTGGCTTCATCTTTGTATTGGTTGAAGATCCCAAGATCTGGATTCAGGCTACAGATTAATTTTCTCTATAAATAACAGTTTAGGGATGGACCTGAGAGCCTCCTGTACTTGAATAAACTAGAAGGTTTGAGTCTTAGTACAAGACTATAATGTAGCTATTTCTCTTGCATTTTAGAAAATATTTTTACTTATGACAACCAGGTTGGTTTTGTCCACAGTAGAGGAGTGGAACGGCATAAAGTTACTGTTAATTGTAACTATTTTCATAGCTCCTTTTCCATCAAAAGCCCAAAGAGAAGTTCAAGTTATATGTAGCCTTAGCACTGATGATAGAATGGCTTAACACAAGATCGTTGGTTCCTAGGAAGGACCTCAGGGAGATTCTTCAGAGCCAAATGTTACCCTGACGAGGGATAAAATCTTTACAAATACAGCCCAAGTAACAGAAAAGGACTAAATTTGGTTAATGAGCACTGACTTTATTTTTGAGTTTTATCAAGATATCAGGAGATAACTTTAAGAACGTTTAGTGATCATAAACTATTTCTAGAGTGGTTTGTAAAATTATTTGAGAACTGTCAAGGTGTCTGCATTATATCACAGCGTGAAAGTTAGTAGATCTCTGTGCAACATTAAACATCCTGGGCTAAGTGTGCCTGCTGACCAACACAAAATAACTTAATCTTTAACTCTTTATATTTTTTTTTCTCCCTTCTTGGAAATTTTCTTGATACTTTTGGAACAGTGAACATAATGAAATAGAGCCATGAATGGTCTGTTACTACTAGTTTTATATGGAAGGCATTCAGATGCTAGGTAAAACCCTAGAATGGAAATAGAAGATTGCAAATAGTTGCACTCTCATTGTATGGCTCATACTATGGTATATCTGTTTGCTAGAATGATAGTTTCTGGAGGTGTCAGAATGCGTCAGCAATTTTAAATAAAGGGGGCTGGCGAATTAGTAATGTAGGTAAAGGTTCCATTTCTAAAGGATCAGACTAGCAGAAACAGTACAGCTTTTAGTTCCATTCTATTTTAATGTTTCTCCTGCGCTTGCTCTTTAATGGTGTTCATTAAAGGTGATTACATTTTTCATATAACCATAGCACTTATTTTTCCTGGTAAGGTTTTCAAAAAAGAATGAACCAAAAGCTTACTTTATTTACCCATTTGACATCTCTTGATTATTGGTGTAAAAATCACTGTATAAACAAAATGGAATTATGTAAAAATGCTGTATTTTAATCAGTGAGGGCTCAGGGAATAATGAAAAGCATTGTCTGAGGAAAGTAGTCAAACAGATGAACTGCTACAGAAAGCATGTCGAAACCACATCGAAGATTTTACTTGTCAGAAGCTGACACCGCAGCCTCATGTCCGTGGATTTAAAAGATCGCAATTTAAAAATGGCTTGTCCGTTTAACCATATAACTCTCCAGTATTCCTCTTCTGTCACAAGACTTAGTGGCTGATCATTATTGTCACAGTAAAAAGCAGGATTGGAATGAAGGAGTAAGTTGTCTCTTCAATAGAGTGGACTTAAACAGCCCAGGTTCTGCCATTTTGCTAAGGATTCCTCTTGATTGATAAAAAGTTGATGTAGCTTGTTCTCTTCCCAATGTCCCCTCTTTTAGGGGTATGCAAGAGGTGACTGGAAAACACAAATGAGGTGGGGGCTAAACCACAAGGCAACACTGCAAGATCTGTGCACAGTGCGGTAGTCCCTAAGGAACTGCTTCAGCCAGGAAGTTTTTAGAGCAGTCCTGAGCCTGTTCCTGGGCCTTGTCTACACTGAAGTTGTGCACAGCTGTGTTGGGAAAGTTATTCAAGGCTTTCAGTCTATTAGCCAGATGGTTGTATTGGGAGAACCCGGGTGTGTATGCAGCTTTTCCTGCAGAAGAAAGCTGCTATCAGCAAAATTTCTTCTACATAGGGGAACTGGCGTAATTAACAGCAAAAAAAACTTTGCTAACACAGCTGTCTAGACACAGAGGGGTCTCCGTCACCAGAGCTGTGGTGGTAACAGGCCTGTAATACAGATTAAACATAGGTTATAGTGGGCACAGTTGCTGTTCCAGAATTGGAGAGACTGAAAGATAACATATGACTATTCAACCTGATACTTCCAGTGGGTCAAAAAAAAAAGATGGAAAAAGGTGTTGTCCCCTTGCTTAACGTTTCAGTGCAATACTGTGAAAATTCATTAGTTCTAAATTTGCTTGCTTTGGGTTTAAGTAAATTCTTTTCTATCTATCTATCCTATCTATCTATCTATCCTATCTTTCTCTGCAAATCTGAGTTTAAAAAGTTTCAGACAGCTTCGTTTTTAGAAAAACCTGGGCACAATGTATTTAGAGGAATATAGATCTAGCTAGATCTATATTCCTCTAAATACATTGTGCCCAGGTTTTTCTAAAAACGAAGCTGTCTGAAACTTTTTAAACTCAGACTTTCAGTGGAGAATTAGTGTAGTCTGCATGCAAATTTTCAAGTTTACTTCAGTTCTTTAAATCACTCGTATTATTTGAATATATTAAATACTGCTATGAGGAATCACCTTTCATAAAGTAAACAAACCTCTTTATTATCATTTTTATTAAAACATATTTTTCATACTAATATGGTTGGTATTAAATGCGTAGTAAGTCTTGCTTGAAACATAAATGTCTTACTGGAGTTACCATGCAGTAGAGCTGTTTTTCAGCTCAGACTTTTTTTACCAAGGTTGGTCTCCTTGAAGGCAGTGATTTCTTGTAAGCATTTGTAGAGATGTATGAAAGGGACTTGAGGGGGAGGAGGGCAGGGGTTGTTGTTTTTTCCATGATTTTGAAAAGATTTTTTTTAAGGTGTTTTTGTTTATTAGGGGAGGGTTGTATTGTTTTGTTTTTATCATTGAACCAAAACTTACCTTTCATTGGTTACTTAGTGGAGAAGATCAAACAGGAGGTTAATTTTCTATGATGAAATTGTTCAAATGTCCACTATGAAAATCAGTGCAAGAAGCTGAAATTTACCTTGACAAGATTTATCAAAGAGAAGAAATACTACAGCATTTTTTTTTTAAACAACTCAAAATGAAATGCTAGTATTGTTGTCAAGCTAGCCTCTCTCAGATGTGGACATTTTTGCTTGCCGCTTTTAGTTTTGGGAAGCTAGCCTCTGTAAAAGGATTTGTGCTTTTGCTAGATTTAGTTTGCTACTATATTTTGAATACTAGAACAACTTTTATTCAAGCTACTCAGTAAATTGCTAAAACTGCCTTTGGACTGCTTACTCTTGATTTAATTTCACTGATACTGTTGAAAATAGCTTTGTTTAAGGGAATATTAGGATCAGCATTGAAAATTCCATTTTAATTTGCCTTCTGCTATCTGTTCTAATATGGAGTGTAGTCTTTAATAACCCAATTTACCTTACTTCAGTTTCACAGATGTGGAGCAATAGTTGTAAAGTTTTGGGTGGGAAGAGAGGGGAGGTATGGGGTAACTTCAGCATGGCATTTTTTCAAACATTTTTCATGTGCTTAGGTACATCCAAGCAGAAGTCAAGTTCCCTGCAGGTAGCAGATAAGGACCTACTGCCACCTTTTCACCCATACCAGCCTTTGGAATGCATAGTAGAAGAGACTGAAGGCAAGCTGAATGAACTTGGACAGAGAATTAGTGCTATTGAAAAAGCACAACTCAAATCATTGGAATTAATTCAAGGTGAACCGTTAAATAAAGATAAAATTGAAGAACTTAAAAAGAACAGAGAAGAGCAAGTACAGAAGAAGAAGAAAATACTGAAGGAGCTACAGAAAGTGGAAAGGCAGTTGCAGATGAAAACACAACAGCAGTTTACCAAAGAATATTTGGAGACCAAAGGTCAGACAGACACACCACTTCCCCTGCAGCAACAGTGCCCACACACAGGTGTCTTTCCAGAAGTGGAAGGAGATAAGGGTCTACCAGAGGATAACTTTTCAGGGTTACCTCAGGTTGACACAGTCTTGTCTAAAGATGATCAGAAACAACATGCTTCCCCCCCTGCCGAACCAATAGAGTTTGTCCCCATCCAGCCTTTGCCAACATCGCAGTGTAATTTTTCCAGTAATTTAGGTTATAATGGGACAGATTCTCTTGAACTTCAGAAAGCATTAGGTAATCAGCAGAATATAGGACAGCATCAGCAAATTGCTGGACATGGGCAGGGGCTGTTAGTTCAAGAACCAGACGGATTAATGGTTGCCACTCCAGCCCAGACGCTTACCGACACTCTTGATGACCTAATAGCAGGTGGGTTAAGAAATATACATATTTTTACATTAATTTGTGTGCTCAGTTTCCCTTTCTCTCCTTCCCTCCAAAAAACAAAACAAAAAAAAATCTTGGGGTTTTCCAAATTGGGAATACTTGCTTAAGAATACTCCTTATTAGTGCTATTAATCCTAACAGTCACTTCCAATTCTAACATTTTTTTTCTTTTTGCCAAACTGCTGAAAACAGTGCTGTACTTTTCCTTTATAGGACACCTGTTGTCAGCCACTGCAACCTCTTCTTTTTCTGTGGTACAGACCTAGTCATGTGTAGTTAGAAGAGGCCATTGGGGAAACTTGAAAACATCACTAATTTTTTTCTTTGTTTGTTTGCTTGCTATAGAGTTTTATATATAGCCTCACACCTACATGGATTTCCTTAGTTGGCAGTTGTCTCCAGTGAAGTACATAAAATATTGTCTCATTGACAAATGTACTGTCCTTTCTGCCAGAAATGTTTTTGATACAGTGTAAACTCTAAACACACATGCAAGTCCATCTCTCCCTTCAATACTTATCTATAAAACTGACTTGTTTTCAGAACAAATTCTAAACCTCAGTCATTATAGTAATGATTTTAATTTTTGAAAACGGTATATGCAGTTCCATTTGTCCAAGGGAATCAAGTGGTGGTGGAACCAAGGGATGAATATGCCACAGTGGCTATCTGGATGAAAAGCAAAGATCAAAACAACTGTGGCTTTGCCAATAGCTTTATGAAGATGAATCAAGATTTCCCTAAATAAGTTCATGCTTACTAGTCACATTATGGAAAAAGTTAACTTTGTGGAGCTTGCTTCTGGTACTTAGCTAGGATATGTTTCCTGCTGAAGATGCGAAAGATCTAAATGTAGTCACAGTTATGTTTAGAGGCAGACTACTCCTTGATGGTCTTTGCTTTTTAGTTTTTATCCAGTATCTCACCTCTTCTCAGCTCCTTTTGTCTGTTCCTTAGCCCTTATTCTCCTGTCTTTTTTTCCCCCTCTTTGATTAATCAGCCTAATTTCATCTTGAATTTTTATAAATATAGAGTAGGATTTGCTAACTGGCTCGCAGGAACTTCCTAACTGGTAACTTGCCACAAGCAAGCACATGTCAGGCCTAACAGCAGTGTTGCAGCTTTCCCTGAAAGCCACATTGAGTATTTTTAGATAGTCATTATATATCTCACAAAGCCACTTTCTTTTCAGTAGTGGTGTCTGTCATTCAGAGAAGTTCTCCAGCAGTGTAGGGAGTAGGATTCCTCTTACCTGGCATGGCTTTCTCTTGTACCCCGGGCAATGTTTCTTCAGAGAATTAAATTGGGAAGTAACCACTTAATTTGTAACAAGTGAAGCTGCGAATTACTCTTAAATATTCTTACTGTCTGAAGTCTGAAACTTCAGAGCAGAGTAAGGAAAACTTGGGGTAATATATAATGTGACTTAAAGAGCTGAATCTTTGGACTGAGTATTGCTAACAAGTTTTTTTTGCACATCTGGCACAAGGAAGGGCACATGGCATGTTCATTTAAGCAATTAGCAGTTGTAGTTGTCTCAGATCATGTATGATCTCCACTCACATGGAAAGTAATAGCAACAGAAGGACCTGCAGGAAATTAGTTTAAATAATAGAAAAAAATCTATTTGTACTAATGTTGTTTTGTGTATATTACATAATGTAACTAACTTTTCAGAATTTATACCGTAAATAGCTTAATCTTTTAACAAGATTTACTTTTAATTTACATTTACTAAATGTACGTTGCTTGAAATGTGAAATATACAGACCGCTTACTTGAAAATGCTTGCTTTTTTACTGAAGACTATTGCATATCTTGTGTATAATTGAGAAACCCTGTCAGTATATTCTAAATGAGTAGTCTTTAACAGTGTCTATATATATAGATAGATAGATAGATAGATAGATAGATATCATTTATCAGTTAATACCATGAAACTATATACTGCAATGTCTGCAGCCATTTAAGAACAAATTTTCATAGAACTTACACATTTAGTTTTCATTACAAGATAGTTTTTATTTTTATATTTAGATATTAGAGTGCCAGTTAGACATGTGCTGCTGCTATTAAATTTATCCTAATATCCAGTATGTTCACAAGAGTAACAATGAATAGTTTTCAGAAACCCAGATTCCACATGCTGCTGTTGTAACGGCTGTTACTGTTGTTCCACTAAAAGGCATTTTCTGAATTTCACAAAAGTAAGAGTTAAGCTTCCAGAAGATGAACAGGAGTGATTTTTTTTTTTTTTTTTTTTAAGCTTCTTGGTTTTAGTCAAGAATCCATTTTGTCCACTGCTTTTAGTATTGATGTAGAGCATTAGTGGCAGACTTCTTAAGAGGATTTATCTAAACTTGTAAGATAAATCTTATAAGTTAGAAACTTCAGTTAGTCTTACCTCGGTCCTGGGGAAGCTCTTTGAGAAAATTATCCAGGAGCACATCTGCAAGGAACCAGCAGGGGAGATTATGCTTAGGGGCAATCAGCATGGGTTCATTAGAGACAGGTCCTGTCAGACCAACCTGGTGGCCTTCTATGACCAGGTCACAAAAACCCTGGACGCAGGTGTTGTGGTAGACGTAGTCTTTCTGGACTTTAGGAAAGCCTTTGACACTGTCTCTCACCCCATCCTCATTAAAAAATTAGGTGACTGTGGTGTAGACGCCTACGTAGTCAGATAGGTCACAAATTGGCTGGAGGGCCACACCCAGAGAGTGGTGGTGGACGCGTCATTTTCAACCTAGAGGGACATGGGCAGTAGGGTTCCCCAGGGCTTGGTCGTCGGGCCCCCACTGTTCAATATCTTCAGCGACTTGGACTAGGGGTGAAAAGCACCTTGTTCAAGTTCGCAGGTGACACTAAGATGTGGGGAGAAGTTAGCATGCTAGAAGAGAGGGACAGGCTACAGCTAGATCTGGACAGTTTACAGAGAATAGGATGAGTTTCAATACGGACAAGTGCAAGGTATTGCACCTGGGGAGGAAAAACTAGCAGCGTACCTACAGGCTGGGGAACTCCCTTCTTGTCAGCACAGAGGCAGAAAAGGATCTTGGAGTCGCTATTGATTCCAAGATGAACATGGGCTGCCAATGTGGGGACGCAGTCAGGAAGACTAATCACACGTTGTCATGCATCCATAGATGCATCACGAGCAAGTCCAAGGAGGTGATCCTCCCCCTCTATGCAACACTGGTCAGGCTGCAGTTGGAGTACTGCATCCAGTTCTGGGCGTCGCACTTAAGGAGGGATGTGGATAGCATTGAGAGGGTCCAGAGGAGGGCCACTCGCATGATCAGGGGGCATCAGGGTAGGCCCTATGAGGAGAGGTTACGGGACCTGAACCTGTTAAGCCTACACAAAAGAAGGCTGAGAGGAGATCTGGTGGCCACCTACAAACTTGCCAAGGGGGACCAGCAGACAATGGGAGAGTCCCTGTTCCCCCGAGCACTACCGGGAGTAACAAGGAATAACGGCCCTAAGCTGACTGAGAGTAGGTTCAGGCTAGACATCAGGAGGCACTATTTCACAGTCAGGGTGGCTAGGATCTGGAACCAATTTCCTAGGGAAGTGGTGCTCGCTCCTACCCTGGCGATCTTCAAAAGGAGACTAGGTAATCACCTAGCCGGGGTCGTTTGACCCCAACATTCTTTCCTGCCCATGGCAGGGGGTCGGACTTGATGATCTGCTCAGATCCCTTCTGACCCTACCTACCATGAAACTGAACATTAAGTGTGAACTACTTTATTTCTGCTGAATTTTAGGCCCTTCACCACAGCAGTTAATTTTTTCCCCAGCATCATTATTTATATTAACTAGTCTGCTAGTTAGTGCATCAGCTGCAGAGAGAGTACAATGTTAAGACATAGGGCAGCTGATGTTAGGGGGGGAGGGATTGAGTTTTTATAAAAGAAAGCTGAAGCTCTTTTTTCCTTGTTTATCAAGTTACAGTAAAGCTGCCAGGCTGTACCCCTCTTCAGTTATAATTAAGCAGAATTTAGGACATTAAATTCAACTTTTAAATTGAACTGATTCATCCTAAAGTAACATTTTAGTTAAAGTGGAATTTTTAGTAGTGTACAAAACAAAATTCTGAGTTCTTTTACTGCAGTTGTACCAGGGTTAGGTTCAAGGCTTAATTGGTTTTGATAAAGATGGATGGAATTGTTATGGTTATTCACTGTGTTTAAAAGAGAGAAATGCCATAAATTAGTGCAGATTATTTTGAAATGTATAGTGAGTTTGACTGTCGTCTTGCAGGCTGCACCATGTTAAACGACTCCATTACAATTCAGGTTTGGTAGGCAAGACATTAGGTATTGGGATTTTATTATAGTTCATATTGCACACATACAGAATAAGCTTTCTCATTTAGCCACTTTTATTTTAGAGGTCTGTTGCTGCTGAAGACCACAAACTTAACTTCCTTGTTGATGTTTTTTATTAAGATTTGTTTTTATTCTCTTCAGTTTGTGCCGTTCAGCCTCCTTTTTCTATATTTTTCATAAATTTTGCACTGTTTCTGTCTGGATTTCTCACCTCAGAAAATTTGGTTGAGTGAACTGAAACTGAATTTATAAAATGTAAATTTTTCTGTTTGTTGTACAGTCATTTTGCTAATATTTGGCTCTGAAATCCATGTTTGGGAATGTTTCCCCATAATGAACATCTGTTGTGATATCTTGTTATTGTTATTTCAAGATTACTTTTTAGGTTACTGCATTGTGAAATGTTGGATAACTCTTTGAACTAGTGGTCAGCAGTATAATCTAAAGTGGAAAACAGAAGTTGTCTATACTAGAGTCCCATTTAGAATACCGTTTGATCTAAACAGGGCAGATAGGTTATTATTGGTTAGAAAAGATAAATTGTTAATAATTATTAGAATACTAGAGTTTTAATGTATTTTTTTTATTTATTTCAAGAAATGGTTTTATAAAAAGGAGCCATCCGTAGTCCCTAATCCATGAGATGAAACG